CCCCCCCCCCCCCCCCCCCCGGGAGTCGGGGTCCCTTGGCCAGCGCTGACGCAGCGTTAGACCACGTCCCACCCCACCCCACTCCCAATCCCGCGTTACTTTACGACTTCACCAGGCTATAGCGGAGGAGGGCACTGGCCGGGCATATCACTCTCCAAATAATATAAATACCCGACGAGCGAATGACTTCCTATAATAAATAAACTCAACCGCCTAGAAGAAATCACCAGCTATGTCTGGCGCGAGGCCCCTGGAGTCTGCGGCTTTGGTGGGGCGGGGGTCACCGTGATACAGGCCAAGCCCCCACTTCCGGGGGGGGGAGGGAGCGTTAAAAATCCCGGGAAGCTTCCCTCCGCTCGCCCCTCCCCGCCTTCTTTGAGGAGACCTCGGATGAGCAGCCCTAAAATCTGATTCCCAGAGCCCTTACCCCTCCCCCTTAGCTCATTTCTTTGAAATTTCAAAGAAAACCCCTCCCTGGAGCCAGAGCCAGAGTCCGGGATGGTAGGTCCCCTGCCTCGGGAAGATGCGGGCAGGTTTACAAGCTAAGGGGCCACTTTATGGCCAAGGCTATAAAACGCAAATCCCACCTCCCTTTGAAAGCGCCCTCCGCCCTGGACCCACCATAAAAATAAGGGAAGATGCGTCCCCAGCCTCCTGCCACGGCCCCCTCCCCTTCTCCCGCTAGTCCCCGAACTTTCCGTAACCTTGGCGTCCTTGGGGTGCCGGGTATAATCCCGGGGATCCCCCAGGAAAGTGGGGGCGCAGGCGGAGAGGGCAATGAGAGGCAAAGTTGGAGGCCGGCCAGAGAGAACCGCACGCAGCCCTCCCCGTCTGTCCTGCCCGCCTCTCTTCGCCAGGTGGGGTGTCCCGGGCCGGGTGGGCGACGCGGGTGGGACGCGCCGCTGCGCCCCATGAACAGTAGTACCATGAATGTAAAAGACAGTGATAGAGACAGTATTGAGAACAAACCAAAAATTGTTGTGTATATAGTCGTAAAAGAGTATTAGTTATATAACTTCATTAGATTTTTAAATAAACTTAATATGCATTGAAGAACTGGCAGTTTAAGTGGGCTGTTCATACAAATACTCTACATTTTTTTTTTTCCTTTTTGTCTTTTTTCGTGACCAGCAACGGATCGCAACCCTCGGTGTTGCTCCTGCACCTCGCTCAGCCAGTGAGCAGGAACCGGTCTGCATGTGGGATCCGAACCCTCGGCGGGAGCGCCACCGCGCTTCCCAAGCGGCGCACTGTAGCAGTGTGCCACTGGGCCGGCCCACTACTTTACATTTTTTAAGTTTAAATTTATATATTTATTTTGGTGAGCAAGTGAAACGTGCTGAACACTTTCAGTGTTCTCGAGTGAAATGCATTTGCACTGGCCAGAGTTTTGGGTTCCTGCGCCGCCATCAGCTCCATGGACATGGAGCGTCCGGGCGACGGCAAGTGCCAGCCCATCGAGATCCCGATGTGCAAGGACATCGGCTACAACATGACCCGCATGCCCAACCTGATGGGCCACGAGAACCAGCGTGAGGCCGCCATCCAGCTGCACGAATTCGCGCCGCTGGTGGAGTACGGCTGCCACGGCCACCTCCGTTTCTTCCTGTGCTCGCTGTACGCTCCCATGTGCACCGAGCAAGTCTCCACCCCCATCCCCGCCTGCCGGGTCATGTGCGAGCAGGCCCGGCTCAAGTGCTCCCCGATCATGGAGCAGTTCAACTTCAAGTGGCCCGACTCCCTGGACTGCAGCAAACTCCCCAACAAAAATGACCCCAACTACCTGTGCATGGAGGCGCCCAACAACGGCTCAGACGAGCCCACCCGGGGCTCTGGCATGTTCCCGCCGCTCTTCAGGCCGCAGCGGCCCCACAGCGCGCAGGAGCACCAGCTGAAGGACGGGGGGCCCGCGCGCACGGGCTGCGACAACCCGGGCAAATTCCACCACGTGGAGAAGAGCGCGTCTTGCGCGCCGCTCTGCACGCCCGGCGTGGACGTGTACTGGAGCCAGGACGACAAGGGCTTCGCGGTGGTCTGGCTGGCCATCTGGTCCGTACTGTGCTTCTTCTCCAGCGCCTTCACTGTGCTCACCTTCCTCATCGACCCGACCCGCTTCAGGTACCCCGAGCGCCCCATAATCTTCCTTTCCATGTGCTATTGCGTCTACTCGGTCGGCTACATCATCCGCCTCTTTGCGGGCGCCGAGAGCATCGCCTGCGACCGCGACAGCGGGCAGCTCTATGTCATCCAGGAGGGCTTAGAGAGCACCGGCTGCACCCTCGTCTTCCTGGTCCTCTACTACTTCGGAATGGCCAGCTCGTTGTGGTGGGTGGTACTCACCCTCACCTGGTTTCTGGCCGCCGGCAAGAAGTGGGGTCACGAGGCCATCGAGGCCAACAGCAGCTATTTCCACTTGGCGGCCTGGGCCATCCCCGCCGTGAAGACCATACTCATCCTGGTGATGCGCAGGGTCGCGGGGGACGAGCTCACCGGCGTCTGCTATGTGGGCAGCATGGACGTCAACGCCCTCACCGGCTTCGTCCTCATCCCCCTGGCCTGCTATCTCATCGTCGGCACGTCCTTCATTCTCTCGGGCTTTGTGGCCCTTTTCCACATCCGAAGGGTGATGAAAACGGGCGGGGAGAATACGGACAAACTGGAGAAGCTCATGGTGAGAATCGGGGTCTTCTCGGTGCTCTACACCGTGCCGGCCACCTGTGTGATCGCCTGTTACTTTTACGAACGCCTCAACATGGATTATTGGAAAGTCCTCGCAGCGCAGCACAAGTGCAAAATGAACAACCAGACTAAAAACCTGGACTGTCTAATGACTGCCTCCATCCCCGCGGTGGAAATTTTCATGGTGAAGATTTTCATGCTGCTGGTGGTGGGCATCACCAGCGGCATGTGGATCTGGACTTCCAAAACTCTGCAGTCCTGGCAGAATGTGTGCAGCCGCAGGTTAAAGAAAAAGAGCCGGAGGAAACCGGCCAGCGTCATCACCAGCAGTGGAATTTACAAAAAAGCCCAGCATCCCCAAAAAACCCATCATGGGAAATATGAAATTCCTGCCCAGCCTCCCACCTGTGTGTGAGCATGCCCAGAGGGAGGGATACAGGGCCAGTCAGAGCTAAAACTCGGTGCTTTTCTTCGTTGGTTGGCTGGTTGGTTGGTTGGTTAGTTGGTTGGTTTTTTTTAAAATAAAGGTAAAAGAAAAATAAATAAATAAAAAGTTTTTACCCTGAAATTCAGGAATGCTGTAATACACTGAAAGTAAAAATGTACTTCAAGGTTTTTGTTTTGTTTCAGTGAAGGGGAGCTCCTCAGTTAAGTAGACTCTTGTGTAACTAATTTGTGGTAAAGTAGTTGATTCAGCCCTCTGAAGAAAACTTTTGTTTAGAACCTTCCACAAATATACATCTGTGTATTTGAGTTGGCTTTGCTAGCCATTTACAAATAAGGAGACAGATAACTTCTTTGCAAATTAAAGAGCCTCCACCGGCTTAGCAAATGAGCCCTCCCGGGGGCCTACCCTCAGGAAGGCTGCAGTGTAAGTCAGCCACTTCTGTGCAAGCAGAGAGGAAGGGAGCTTTGACAGCTCATCACACTCCAGTGGATTGGAGTCACTTAAAATAGACTCCAGCCTCTAGCTTCACTAATAGTCTTTCTCCAAAACAGAAACCTCCACCAAACCTAACATTTGTGAATTCAAACAATGTGCAATACATTTTTTTTCCTCTCTCCATGAAAATAAAAAGAGAAACGAGTATTTTGCTGTACATAAAGACAACAAAAGAAATCTCCTAACAAAAGAACTAAGAGGTCTAACCCTCAGAAACCCTTTAGTATTACATTTTGTGGCTTTTTAATGGAAACCAAGCCAATGTTATACACGTTTGAACTGATTTGTGGAAGGGGGGGAGTACCCAAAGGGCTTATTGACTCTTTCCATTGTTAAACAAATGATTTTCATGAATAGATCAAGAAGCGCTAGGTTGGCAAAGACAAACTTTGTCTAGTGTGTTCTCTTTAGCATGCCAGGAAAGGGGTTCCTGCCTGTGTATATTTGTAATATATGATATTTTTCATGCTCCACTATTTTATTAAAAATAAAATATGTTCTTTAGTTTGCTGCTAGTCTCTTGTGCCTTGTGAGGTTTCCCTAATCTATGTATGGAGAGAATAGAGAAAACTTTCTCTGTTTTTTTAGCAAATTCTAGTTGTGCACCTTTAACTAGAGATTACTGGTCATTTATATAATAGTACAGATAGGCAGATTCCAAGGTTGATAGAATGATTCAATTTCAAGTTTTAGAGGAATTGCATGCAGTCAAGGTATAAAGTTGGAAATAGTTTCTGTGATGGTTGGTAGCTAGACATGAGGGCTTAGTTGTGGCCACACTTCATCGGGGCTGCTAAAAGTGGATACACCCATGAGCCTGGATTATTAGCCTCCTGTAATATACTCCAAGAACGGAGCCTACCAACTTAGAGAATTAAATCAGTGGTGTTCAATTGACCTGCCGGAATCAAATTGTACCTCAAGCGTACACCAGTCGGAAGTATTCTGGCTTTGCAGCAACTCTGGGCTATGGGGACATATTTACAAAACAGATGATAGATCTGGTTAGGATAAATACCTGCTAAGTGTGGTGGGTCATTGAGGAGAAGTTAAGCAACTTTGGTACTCACAGTACTCAAACTCTTCTCTGATGTTTGCTGTTAGAGCAGTGTAGCTGTAAAAAACTGGACTAGGCCCAAGTTCTGCTGCTTAAAGACGCAGCTAACTCAAGCTCTAACCAGAAGCACCCAAGGGCGTAGTTCAGTTCAGTGCTATGGAGGTGGGGCGTCTATAGAATAAACCAAGATCTCCATGGGGGCAGACTATCTCCAAGCTACAACTTGAACAAGGAGCTTATAAGAAATTTGGGCATTTATTTAGTGCTTACTGAAGATGGACAGAAGTCTGAAGTCAGTACTATCTGTTTTCTGAAGAGGGTATTTAGGAATGAAGCCTGGTCAACATAAGACCACCCTCACATCAACAACAGCAGGGCTGGGTAAACAACACCCCCTGGTTTGAAGGGCCTGCTTCGCTGCATGTGAATGCCTGTGGCATGCAAGAGCAGGTAGGTTGGGTGGTTTGAGATCAAGTTCAAGAAACTAAAACACCAGCTAGGTAGATAAAGTAAATTAAGGTAAAATCCAGAATCGTTTTCAGTGCATTAAGAAAGAATGAAAAAGGATTTTTAAAATGCCCACAAATAAAAACCCATTTGTTAGTTGTTCTCGCCCATCCTCCAAAATGACTATATATAATTATTTATGTATGTGTGCATGTTTGTTTATAATGTTCACTTTGTGTGACTCTTAGGGAAAATAAAAATAATATGTTTGGAACAGAGCTTTCTAGAACTGCAGAAAGATAACATTTGTCAGAGCAATGCTGTGAGTGTCAAGGCTGGATATGACTCCAAAGACATTCGGTTCTAAAGTTACAGGACTCATCAGCTACTTTGTGTCTGCCCATGTTCAGGTGTGTAGGCTCTAAAATTTGGTCCCAAGGAAAGACGTGTTCAATGACATACGTAAGAGTCTTTGTTGTTGCTTAGCCCTGAATGTGTTTCAGTGTGGACCCACCCCAGAAACCACGGCGATCTTGTTTACAAATGTCAGGGATTTTAATTTGCAATTGGGCTAGGTGCAGCTGCTGGGTCTACCAGTGAGTGATCAGTAAAAGTTGCAGCTGAAGAGCTTCCAGCTCACTTCTCCCTCTGAGCTAAGCTGAAATCTCACCCTAGACCACTTACAGAGAATATTAGGAAAAACATCAAGGCTTACAAGTTAGAAAGCTGAAAGAAAACCACGCTGCTTGTCCTTGGATTCTCTGTATGACTCCTTATGTTGTACAAGGAGTACTGTGGTACTCAAGGCAGGATTCCAGAGGAATCATTGGTTGCTTTCATTTGGAGATTTCTCAGCATCAGAGCTGCATGGCCTTAGCTCCAGAAACATGGCAACCTGTTTTGGGTGGCAGGTCTGAATGGTGAAGTCATAGAAGAAACCCAAAGAAGGTGACTGTCCAAGGTCGCACTGCCACCCACACCCATTCATTCCTCCATTCTTTTCCTTATTCTTTCACGCAGTTATAGCTACTCCCTGCCTCCTTGTGCTGGGTAGGGCCAAGGAAGCAGAGAAACAGCACTTGGTCTGTGGCTTTGGGGGGCGGGGGTCACAGCCTGGTGAAGGAGACCTGCATGGCACATCTCATATGTACTTCTGTTACATGTCAGGGGAGGCTTCCCAAAGATGGAAGTATTTCCACTGTGCCTTGAGATGCATACAGGGCAGAAGACTCAACATGCATAATTTCATGGCAAAGGGAAGTTGCAGGGTCACTTGGACAGAAGTAATTAGCAGAGAATAGAAAACTCCATGGGAACCTACACTGGGTCTGGCTCATGACCCCTGCATATGCCCATCATGTGGCAGAGTGCCTTGGATGTAGTAATAACAACTACAGTAATAGCAACCACGGTGATAATAGTCATCTCCACAGCACAGCCTTCAGAGCTCTTACTGTGTGCTAAGTGCTTTATAGTATGACCTCACTGAATTATCACTGCAACACATTCAGGGAGGTACTTTATCAACCCCACTTTACATATGAATACCCTAACACACAGAGAGGGTAAGTAAATTCCCAGGGTCACAGTTAGAGCCAGTATAGGAACCAGGCAGTCTGATAATAGATTTGGACCACCAACTCGGTAAGTAATTGCTGAATAAATGAATGAATGTGAACCATGTTATGTGGCTCCAAACCGGTGCTTCTGATCACCAGGCTCTCCTACCTCTCTGTGTTCTAAGGACTTTACGTGGATTAAATCATTTAATTCTTCCAGCAGCACTGCTGTGTTGTTCCATGAAAAAGGGCAAAGACCACTTTGGCAGCCTGGGAGAGCCCAGAGAGGAGGCTGTACAAACTTGCATTCTTGTGACAGCCCAGAGGGTGAACTGAGGACGTGGCAATGGAGATGGGTGAAGCAGGTAGATGGAGTGGTGCCTAGAAGGCAGAAGCAACAGGGTTTGGTTTTATGTAGAAAGGGACAAGAGGGAACCACCATGTTTCTGACATGATGGCAAACTGACATTTACCAAGACAAGAGAAAATAAACAGAAGAGGATGGGGCAGGGAGTGTAAGTGGGGAAGGAAAGATGAACATAGTATAGGTGATTTGCATTGAGGTGTCTGATTCCTGCAGGTAGGGACGGTCAGTCTGCAGCTGGGCTGTGAGTATTTGCACTCATCAGAGTTGGAGGGTGATTGAAATCAGGCAGGTAGGTGGATCTCTCCAGGGGCAGAGGACAGAGGCAGACAGAACTTAGGGCTAGGTAGACACAGAGGAGGCTGCAAAGCAAGTCCTGACTGAGAGCAGTCCCTTAACCACCTGGGATCCAGTTTCTCTTTTTTACAATAAGAGGATGGAAAGAGATTACGTAAACCAATGGTCTCATCCAAAGTCAAAATATGTGATCCAAGTAGAGATAAGGGGAAAGCAGCAAGGGTACTACACTACAAGCTAGGAGGGGCTCTCTCCTCCACCCACCCATGCCTGTGGGATTCCGCCTCTGTAACTTTAACTTAACCCTTGGGCTACTCAAGCAAAATTAAAATGAACTCCACAGGCTGATATTTTTTAATCCTCTGCTAGCACCTATGGGGATGCTGCTTCAAAGCAGAAAAACAGAAGAGGAAAATCAAGAAGTATTCTTGAGGCAATAGACATTATCCTATTTTTTAGATTATTTTCTCAGAAGGTGGAGAAGTACAGAAAAGAATAGCAGATTGGAGTAAAGACTGGCATCTTACACTTAATGGATGTGAAGATATAATAGGATTTAGGACTGAACCATATCCTGCCTCTACTATGACCTGATTTCCAATGTGTTGCAACCACTTAAGGTCACTTTACATTGGGCAAAGTGCTGAAACTTTGCCGCCTCATTTCTTCATCTATAAAATGGGCGTGATAACGGTACCTACCTCATTGGGCAGTCACTCACTAATAAATAATATTTATTGAGCAACTACTAACTGCTCAGTTGTTTTAAGTACTCTATTCCTCACCACAGTCCTAGGAGTGATGATTTGACATTTAATAAAATCATATTTGTAAAGTACTCAGAAGACTGTGTGGCATAAAGCAAATGCTCAATAAATGTTAGTTGTTGTTATGTTTATTGTCTCTGCCCCCCAAGAAAGTTGAACCCAGCAAGCTAATGAGTACTGAGCTTTAAACAGAATGAGTTTTCTTCTCATAGAAACACTTTTTCTGATACTGTGTTCAGGTTCCACAGAATACCCACTGATCTTTCAAGTTTAAAAGGCAGGCACACTGCCTCTACAGCCTTGAAAAATATTCTCTGTCTTTCTCTTTGAACACAATAACATCATAGCCGACTTCCCAGGAAATCAGACCTCATGCACGGACACCTCTATACGCAAATGGATAAAGATGGCTGTAATATGGAAATGGAGAAAAACGGTCAGACTTCAGGGAAGCTCACTGAACACGCTCAGGCAACATAGTGGGGCATGTTTTTTAATGTTTTATTAAGAGTGTGAAGGCCAAGCTGGAGGGAGGAGGGAAGGAGGCGTTTGAAATCTGCAAAGAATAAGTTTCAGTTGCCGATGTGAGCTGTCATAATTGGGGACACTCCTAGGAAAATGACTCTGCTGGATCCAACACGACGTCCCCAGCCCAATCGGACTTTTTAATAGTCAACGAGTCTTGCTTTGTAACTATAGGATTTTTTAATTTTCGTTTATTTATTTTGGGGTACCAGATTCTCCTCCAGGGGGCTTTGGTTTATATGAAAGGATTTATAACAATAAACATTGTGATACAGCCACCACTAAAATAAAAAAAATAGGCCACCACCACTTTCCCAGAACCTGGTGGCTTCCAGGGCTTCTGCAGATGGCATAGGATGTTCTCAAGTGATCTCTTACAACAGGTGTCCTCAAAGGGAGCACTGGTGG